GGTGGGCATGGCATGGTGGCACGGTTGCGTCGCGTGACGGTCAGATGTGCATACAAGATGATGGACGACACACAGAGACAACACACACAGGGCTTTCAAGTGTGACTGACTGACGGGTCGGAGGCAGGGTGCGGGGGAGGGCGGTTGCTGCTATTTAAGCCAGGGGGTGGGGTGGGGTGGGGTGGGGTGGGTGACTGGGTGAAGGTGGCTGAGTGTTGCAAACAAGGGTCATCCATCCTGTCATTCTGTTCTCTCTTTCTTTTTCTCGCTCGCTCGCTCACTCACGTGTCTGTGATACTCGAGCATCGCATCGCAATGGCACTCTGCCAGAGTTTCTTTCTTTATCCATGCATGATTCAACCAACACACCTGGATATGCACATCACATGTATACATGTTTCCACAAGAGGGGCTCGCGCACATTTTTGCGTCTTTCTTGGGGTGGGGGGATGGATGAATGCCTCTCAATGACCCGACCAGCCGTAGCCGTCCGTATTCGTTTCTAGCCATCCAATATGCATGTTGTGTGGAGTCTCTTGCCGTTTTCCCACCCCACTGTCACGTCTATCGCATGACAGGGCGTCCCAGAACACGTGCATCGGTAAGTGGAACGAACAAAGCGGAAAGGACAACGAAGAAATGTCAGTCCGACGGATGTGCCTGTGCTGTGCTGTGTGTATGTCTGTTCAGGTGCGGTGCAGAGCATCCATCAAGCCAAGGAGTGGTCTGGGGCAGGGTGGAGTCTCCGAGCGGACCACACACATACGAACACCGAAGAAGATCCATCAGTCAGTCGAAGACAATGCTCGAGCTATATCGATCGGTGCCGTCGGGCGGGTGGGTGAGCAGTGGGTGTGAGTGCGTGCTTCTTTTGTCTTTCGTTGTGTCCGTAGTTGTGTTTGTTGTCGTCTCGTTGTCTATCTATCTCTCCATGCATCTATCCTCCATGTGTGTGGTGGCACGAGCGAACCGCTTTATTGGTTCAGCCACTCCGCGGCGGATCGATGGGCGTCTGTCTGTCTGTCTGTCTTGCTGCCTGTCTCGCTCTCTTTTCGACACGGACGTTTTCCCCGCCGCCCCTGAGCCAGCCCCGACACAGGCAGGCAGGGAGGCAGGGAGTTTATTAAACAGGGGGGGAGGAGAGAGAGAACGCTGTCTCCGTTCCGTCGTAGTCGCACTTTTTTGAATGTCGGTCATCATCTTCTCATTGGTCCTCTTTGTTATCCCTTCCTTCATCGATCCATTCATTATTCATTCAGGCACTTTCTTTGCCCACTCACTCACTCACTGGCTTACTGACTCCCCCACTGACGGGTTGAGAGAGAGATGGGGTGGAGGCCTCGCGGAGGCCGCCATGCCGCTCGCTCGCTGCACCCACCCATGCCTGCCCTGCCCTCCCGTGTGTGGAGGGGGAACGGGCATCGCATCGAGCTTCATGGATGAATGAATGAATGGATGTGTGTGCGCGCTCGCATGACCTACATACATGGGACTTGCTTGGGTGAGAGAGACCGTGTGTGCACGTGCGTGGCCTCTTCCTTTGCCATAGGAAGACCTTTTTTCGCACCCGCCATGCCCTCCTGCCTGCCTGCCTACCTGCCTGGCTGTCTGTCTGTCTGTCTGCCTGCTGCGTGCCTTCTGGCTTGGAAGCTCTGCATGCGTGTGTCGGCGTGTGGATGCTGCCTGGCGGGTGGGAGAGTGAGAGGCACCGGACTCCCTCTCGCATTGTGCGTGCATGTGAGAACGCCGAGTCTATCGTCAATGCGTGTCGTGGGGAGACGTGAGGGTCAGATCGCCTGATTTACGTACGTTGGCACGCGATCCAAGCTCGCACCTCATGGAGGAGAAAGGGATGACGTCGCTGTCACATTCGCCTCTGTTGGGGCTTCCAGAGCCTCCCGAGCATGCCTCGCCGGGCCCCCCGACGGGCTCTGCAGCCGACAATGTCCGCTTTCTCTGCGGCAAGTTCTCAGACCTTATGGGGCGGCTCCAGGTATGACACCTGAGAGAGCTGAGGATGCATACATTCTCTCTGGCCCTGTGTGTCTGCCATATATATTTGTGCCTCATTCATGGCCTGCAGTATGAGGAGGCGGCGAGGGCTGTGGCCGAGAGGGAGGTGGAGCGGCTCATTCAGGAGACAAACGCACTCAAGACGGAACGCGACAGCCTCAAAGAACACCTGCAGACAGGTTCGCCATCCAAGACTGCATGCCACGTCCTCATTCATGTTCAGTACGCATGGCCACTTCTTTCTGTCCCCTCCCTCTTATAGAGACCTCTCGGCTGTCGAGTGAGAACGCCAATCTCCGGCAGCAGCTGTCGAATGCACGGCACGAATCCCTCGTGCATCAGCGAGAGGCCAAGACCCTCGAGACGCGCCTGACGGAGAGCGAGGGGGCCCTGCGGGAGTCGCGTCGCCAGTCGACGCATGACGACCAGGTGGTGCAGGGACTGCGTGAGAGGGCCAAGCGGAGCGAGGATGATGCTGAGGGCACCAGACAGGAGGCCGTCAAGCTGCGCCGGCAGAACACGGACATTGAGTCGGAGAATGCGAAGCTCAAGGCATCGGTGGAGAATCTGCAGCTGCAGTTGAAGCAAGTATGTATGGGACGGCCCTGGGACTTGAGTGTGTCTGCCGTCGTCTTGTGTGTATACGAACAGGCTGTCATGCGTGGCCTCGACGCTGAGGCGCAGGTTCGCACGGGCAAGAATCTCCTGCTGGACAACGATGCAATGATCCGGTAATTAATCTGGACCAGATGGAGGTCCTTAATTAGGATGGCATGCATGTATGCAGCAAGCTGAAGGATGATTTGAAGTCGACGCTGAAGAGGAATTCGTTCCTCTCTGAGAAGGGCGAGAAGCTACTGAGACAACACGCAAAGCTGCAAGAGGACGTGAGATCCACTGAACAATGCATGCACGTGACACTCACCTCACCTCTCCTCTTTACCGCTGGCTGGTATGTATGGGTGGGGTGGGTCAGCATAATGGCAAAGACGAGAGGCTGAATGTTCTGCGGACAGAAAACACACAGAAGGAGGCTAAGCTGCGGGTGGGCAAGTGCCGACCTGACTATGAATGGCATACAGCCCTCAGACTCCTGTCTCTTTCTGCCAGTCTGCAGTGCAACGGTTGGAGTGCATCAAAGATCTAGAGGCCACAATTGCGGTGGGCAACGGCATGACCATTTTCTTTCCCTAGTGGACGCCCCATTGATGTTCTTGGTGTTCAATCCAGCAACTGCGCAAGGACAACGCCGACCTGGACCAGAAGGTTAGGGAGATCGCACAGGAGAAGGTCAAGGCTATCCACGAGTCGACAGGGTAAGCCAAGCCAAGGAAATGGCTGACAGCAGGGCCAACATAGTCTGCCTCCACCTCTCTTGGCATGTGCAGCCTCTCCCATTTGCTTCATGACCGCACAAATGAGAGCGAGGCTCTGAGATTCCATCTGGAGCAAGTCAAGGCGGTAAGTGCTGCCGCTGAGTGCTGCATGTCACTAATAAGCCCGTCGCCCGTCCATCAGGAGGAGAGCTTACTGCGAAAAGAGCTGGAGGTCCAGCAGTCGGCTGCCGATAGCATGGCTACCCGACTGGAGCAGGCTGACGGCCACAAGCACAAGGTGACGGTCATTGCGCAACATGCCACGATGTGACGACCATCTGTCCATGTGTGTATATGTGTGTGCCCAGAATGAGGCCATGATTCAAACACTGATCAATGACATCAAGGAGGCCAACAGAGAGCTCGAGACGCTCCGCGAAGAGAAAAAAGAGCTCATGTCGAAGAGCCAGACGTTTAACGAGAAGGTGAGCATGCTAACCACTGTCGAATGGCACATCAGGGGGGCAGCATCTTGATTCGCTTCCATCAGGCTGCATCGATAGACGCTACGGCCACGCAGCTGAGGAAGAGGCTGCAGCATAGCAGCTCCCTCCTGCAAGCCAGCCAGGAGGCGTAAGTGTCCGAGACATGCATGGTTCACGTCTTCTACCTGGGTATCGTATCCCTCCTTCATTTTTTTTTGTATTTTCTTTCCTTTTCAGATTGGATGACGAGCGTCAGACGAGGCAGACGTGTCAGCGAGAGGTCATCCTATCACGCGAGCGCTTTGGCCAGCTTCGTAAGAAGTACACGTCGATGCTAGAAGAGTACAAAGAGCTGAAGCGGTCAGCAAGCACAGCCGTGCGGCAGCTTGACGACTCTCCCCTCATGCAATCGGCCAGACAGCGATCGGCTAGAAGTTCTGCACCATCACAACAAGCACGGTCGAAGCCTCCGTCAGCGTTACCAACGAGTCGCCCATCTCCTAATGCACAAGACGACAGCGTGCCGCGCCCGTCGCCCCCCCCGGTCCCCGCCAGCCCACCCGTCACGGACGATGGCGTCAATTTCCTTTTGCAGTTCATCGACCAAGAGGAGAGACGCCACCAGCCGCACCAGCCGACTGCTGGAGCACCATCTACTGACACATAGCCACCACCACAGCCACCGCCGACCGATGATACACATGGTGATGGCACTGGGGTCGCTTACATAGTTTCCGCGCAGGAAGGCGGGATGGAGGACACAGACACGCGAGAGAGGCGGATCGATGTGCTGACGCAGGAGCTAAACATGCCTGCGAGGGAAGAGGCGGATGACGACGAGGTTGGGGGTGACAGGGCGACGGGCAAGGCGGAGTTGGAGGGGTCTGAGGAGCAGCCAATGAGGGGGCGAACGGAGTGGACTGTGGGTGAGGAGACACAGGAAGACATGGAGGGGTGTTGATTGAAGAAACAAGGGCCGTGCATGCCTGAGTTGACCAGCCATCTGTGAGACTCGGATCAGAGAGATAGCTTCATTGATGCTCACGGTGCACATATAACTAGTCGGTCAGGACACGTACACACCATTCAGTGGCCGGCAAACGGGACGCGAGACATCCATAGCATAGCAGCCCCGACCAAACAACGAACCTCTGTGTGTGTGTCACATCGTGTGCATCAGCAGTGGGAAAGGTCGGTCATTGCTCAGTGAGGCATGCAAGCTCGCGTGCATCAACATCTCATTCTAGAAAGTGCGGCATTCTCTGCTGCTCTGGCGCGAGCTCTTGGATAGGCTCCCTGAACTCCCTTGATATCGGCAGCACAGCAACGTTTGAAGCCTGCGCACACAACACACACCACGACACATGCGGCTCACCACACCCACCTTTGCTCACTTACCCCGACCGTCACGCCGTCGGATGTGGAGATCCGGCCATCGCCCTGCCTAGCTGATACGGTCTCCAACTCATGATACAGCAGCTTGCCGCTGTTCTCCACCTCATCATCACCTCCTTCCCTGAGGTGCTGTGACCCCTTCCATGAGGGGCTCCCTCCTTTTTTCCCAAACCACTCTGTGGGAGGAATGTACCACGGCGTCTGCCTACTGGGCGACACGGTCGGGGAGTGGGCCGGGGACTGCGAGGCTTTCCGGGCCGGAGCGGACTTGGGGGATGTGTCCATTGGCGATAGCTTGCCGGCGAAGGAGACACGAGTGGTCTTCTTCTTTGACGCTCGTGTGGATGGCTGGGGTTTGCCCTTCTTCTCTCTCTTCTTCTCTGTGCCAGCTGCTGCCTTCGAGCGCGGAACGATAGGAATCGTCAGCTGTCCGTCTTCGCCGTGCTCTGCTTCCTCTGAAGCTTTGGCAGCCGATGGCGCTGCTTGCTGCGTCACCGTTGCAGACAGCCTTGGGAGCAGACTCGGGACGATGGTGCCGTTGGCGATCTCCTCCAACACCCAACCTGCACTCAGCGACCCCAGCGGGAAGAGCAGGGCAGTACAAACATGTTTGTGCATCGACACAGTGATACATCCAGGCACACATATTGATGCCGACCGACCTAGGGGGTCGTCTTCTGTGATCTCCCTGACTTTTATGTCAGCGATGAACAGGGGCTGGGGGCCGGCCAATGCCTCCGTGGCAGCCTGGACGACCGGCAGGGTGCGCTGCTTCCGGAATATATCGGACGGGAGGAACAAACGCGTTGACGGTGAGTCGGCGTCAGCGATATTCCTGCAGACGTGGATAGACAGACAGACAGCCAGGCGCGACGCATACATGCATAGCTCCTCCTTTGCACACGCAGTCCTCACTTGGTGACGCGTTTGAAAGATGCATTGATGACGTCTTCAGGTTTCAGGAAGGCCCTCTCTCTTTTTTCGAGCCCACTCGAAGTCTCTCCGTCATCCGCCTCTTCCCTCACGACGGGCAGCAGGAAGTGCTGAAGGGGCTCTCCCTGGTCGTCGAAGCTCGACCATCTGGACGTCGCCATGGACGGCCCGCGGCTCAGCGCCAGAGAGCTTTGCCACGTGCATCCCTGTGGCTCCGTCCCATCGTAGTCAGGAGGAGGTGAGCGACTTTCCTGTCTTCGGAGAAAAGCCTCCGCTTCGTGGATGCCGAGTCTGACGGCATACTCGTCTCGCCGCCTGGCGCCAAAGCTCACCGACCGATTCGACGCAGCTGCCCTCGGGCTCTCCTCTTTATGTGGCTGGTGCGTTGGATCATGGCCAGTTGAAAGGTGAGGGGCTGGAGGCTTGCCTCTCTTGCGCTTCAGACGGGGCGTGCGCTTCAGAACTTTGGACAGTGGCGGGCTGTCGGGCTCAGGCGGTGCAGATCCCACGATGGAACTGAGGAAGTGTGAGGGGAGAGGCTTTCGGGAGCGGGGTGAGGTTGACCGTTGAGTTCGAACAGATATGGATGGCTTGGTTCGCCGACGAGAGGAGGGCAGCGCCATGGTAGGGGAGGGACGGGCCAAAAAGAAGTCGAGATGATCGCAATTTGGGGGAACCGACCGGCCTTCCCTCCCCCCGAATACCGACCAACGAGCCTTGTCTGAGCTGCACTGCCTTCTGTCTGACCCTCTCTGCCTGCCACCTACCTTGCCTGTGATCCGTCCGTTGTCTGTGCCTTAAACTTCTTGGGTCCTCTTTCCCAGCCCCAGCCAGCGCCATCCATGATGAAGTTGACCCCCGTGCTCCTGGTGTCACTGGGCCTGTTCATCTCCACCCCCCTCTCTGCATTCATGCTCGACGCCGACCAGCCTGACGCGCCGGGCGGGCAGGCACAAGTCGACTGGGGTACGTCACGTCACCGACGATTCGTCAGTGCAAACGTGCATCTCCTTGCTGTTTTGCGGGCTGCAGGCGACACCGATGCCAATACAACCGATGCCGGCGCCGCTGGCGAAGAAGAGAGAGTGTCTGTGGGTGCCGCTGAGGGGGACGTCGCTGAAGGGCCGGCAGTCCACAGCGAGATATGTCACGAGCTTTCTGTCGACTCCAGCAGCAGCCGCACCAAGAGCATGCTCAACGGCATTGCTCAGCTCTCCAACGATTTCAACGAAGACGATATCGTCAGATACACACACGGTCAGCCGCGTCCGGCGGAGTCGACGGACATACTGACCGACCGATAGATAAACCACTGCCCGAGGCGCACCTATGTGTGTTGTGGCATGCATGCCTGTCTGTCTGTATGGGTGCACTGCAGTGTGGAATGGCCTGCAGGCGAATGAGAAGGCCAAGTTGAAGGCCGAGGATGAAATCAAAAACAAGACAATGGAGGAGACCAAAACCATGAGCGGATTCGGTACACACACACACACACACACTGCGTCACAATACCTTCCTTACATGTCGTCTCTTGTCGTCCATATTGCTTTGGGCGTCAGAGAATGTGCTGCAGCAGCTGGGCACCCTCCTTGGCGGCGGCAAGCCGGCGAGCGCCCAGGCGTCCCTCGCGCAGCTGCGTCGCGTCGACCACAGCCACACGGACACCCCGATGGGCCGTGCTCTGGCTGCGATGAGCAGGCCTTCGCTCAGACGGTTGACGGCCTGATAAGCAAGATAGAGAAGATGGGTGTCTCACACGAGGCGATGCAGGACATGACGACAGCCCTCGAGAAGCTCATCATCAATATCCAGCTCCGAAAGGTCACCCACCCACCGAGAAGATCTCTGGAGATAGGTGTATCGTATCCTCTGCATGTCTCTGTCTCTCCCTGTCCACCATGCCATGCAGGCGATGCTGGACAGTTTGTCCAAGACGAGGGACGAGGTGCTGCGGTGCTCAAGGATCGCCCTGGGCAACGTCAACAAGTTCATTCAAAAAATCACCGACACCAACAAAATCAAACTCCTGGCACGCCACTCACACACACATGCATGTCTCACGACACCACAGTCCGTCGCCACGCACCTCTCCTCTGTCTGTGTGTCTGAATGAATGCAGGAGCCCTGTGGCGAGCCGTGTGCATGCCACACAGCGTGTCTGGTGGAGAAGTCGGTCATCATGGATCCGCTCACCAAGACACTTCAGCAGCTCGGCCTCGTGCCGGGCGGTGGTGCTGGTGCTACCGGTGGTGCTGGTGGTGCTGGCGCAGGTGGTGCGGGGGGCAACGAGACATCGCAGTTCAATGTGGAGGGCACCTTCATTCAGCGGACCCTCAAGCGCCTTGTCTGAGGTTGCCTGTTAGGCAGCCAATGACCGAGTGGGTGTGGGTGGGGTGTGTGTGTGTGTGTGTTGTCTGTCTTCTCGAGGTCACTGATCGCATCGCACACGCATAGGCAAAAGGCCCTGACTAAAATCCATTATACGACGCTCTTGGTCAATCGGTCTGTCTGGTTCGGCCACTCGCATACATACAAACTGGACACATACATAGATCGACCACTACACACGACGAGCTACCTACCTAGTCCTACGCCATCAGTGTTTCCATGAGTGGTTTCACCTTGCTGTTCCACTCGTCCGCCCAGCTGCCCGGCCGGCGCTCAGCCGCACACTGACGCAGACGACACAGCCGGGGGGCCCCGCCAGGGCTGTCGTGAAAACCCTCCAGCACCGACGTCAGCCTGCAACAAACCAGAGAAACGTGCACGAGCAGGTCTACGGGTCTCTGTTCGTTGAGTGGTTTTCTTCCTTACGCCGTTGCGAGCGACGCGGCATCGTCGAAGAAGAGGGCGTTGTGGCCTTCATGGAGCAGCTAAGGGAAGGACACAGCACAGCACAGCACGGCACGGCACAGGTGACTCTATGAGGTATGTATGATGTCCATCTACCTCTGCCAGTGTGGGGAAGCCGTGTGCGAGGATGGGGAGGCCGCACCCCAGCATGTCGACGGCCTTCATCGGCAGATCAAGACCTGCACGCCACGCACCACCAACAGCCAACACACAGTCATTGCATTGCGGGCTCGCTCGGTCGCTAGCTGGTTTGCTCTCTGACTGACCGGAAGATGAGTAGTGCAGACAGAGACCCAGATCAGCACACCCCAGCAACCTGCACACACAACCAGACAGACCAGCTAGCTGCACGAATCACGGGCTTCCAGAAGCCCCCTGCTCACTTGGGGTAGTCCTCTGCGGGTGCGAAGACGGTCCGTATATGCACCCCCCTGAAGCGATGCCGGCTGGCACTCCGAAGCCACGATGCCTTCAGGGGCCCCTTGCCCGTGATCAACACAACCACCGGTGGCAGCCGACTCCCCCACCTCTCAGCCGCGTCATCATACTTGACCAGCGCCTCCAGCAGCAGGCCAAAGTCTTCATCCGCCGTCCAGCTGGTGGACGTCACCATCAGCGCCGGCCTCCCCTCCCGCCACACCACCCGCCCCCTTCCCCTTCCCCTGTCTGCGCACTCCACAGCTGTCAAGACCGACACCTCCCTCACGGATCGATCCACCCCGGCCGGCCAAGCAACCTCATCCCCTGACGCCTCTGCGAGCACATCCGCGAATGCCGAGTGGTGGCCTGGCTGCAGGTCGGCGTCGGGGGAGGACGACTCGAGTGATTGGCCAAGATAGCGGAAGAGGGTGTCGTGTTTGGCCGACAGGGGGAGGGGCGTGAAGGTGTCTGGGGGTCGGTCGTAGAGGACGATTGGGGGTGGCCGGACCGACCATCGTGTGGAGAGGTCGGTCTGCATGGCCTGGGACACGCAGAAGGAGGCGCGAGCTAGACCACCAAACAACTGAAGCAACGACAGACACACGACAGACATGATATCCATATGATGCATGCCATGCGCACCGCACCTACCCGTTCAACCGCAGCGGACACTCTGACCAGCCCCCTGCCGACCGCTCCCCTCGTCTGCATCCCCAGCGCCAGCAACGAGTAGCCGTAGTTGTGCCAATCCACGACCAACGCAGCGCCTCTCACCACACTCACAGCCCACAGCACAGGCAGGGACGGAATCGAAGGCGGGTTCTGCTGGACTATCACCTTCAGTCCCGGCACCTCCCAACCCACCACACGCACCAGCGACCACACCTGACCCACCACCTTTACCGCCGCAAACGCCAGAAACAGAGCACCGGGGAACTTCTTGCGGTGGCGGTCGACCCATGGTGCGGGAATGGGCGTGATGTGGATGCCCGCGTCGCTCAGAATGCGCGGATGGCAGGGGGTGTCGTCATAGCCCACGAGGTGCACTCGATAGCCGGCCTGCGCCAGGCACCATGCATGGTTCTGCATTCGTGGGCTGCGGCCGAGGTCGCCCAAAACAACCACTGCAACGGTGGGCGACGAGGTGGCGCGGCGCTGCTGAAACGATGCCCGAAACAGAGCCACGACGGCCACTGCAATGAAGATGGTTGCGAGAAGGACGACATATGCCGGCAGCCCCGTGGGGTGCGCCTCATCGGCCACCAGCATGAGGGATAGCAGGCGGCGGATGGCCATGGGAGATCCTCTGCAGACCGGAGGTAACTAACAATGAAGAGGACGTCGTCGTTTCACGTAGATGCGCAACGAGATCAATAAGTAGTCGAGAGAATGCAGTAATGCAGGGGAAGGATCCCTTTAAGGATCCCTTTCTCTCCTCTTTCTTCCTCTTTCTCCCTTCGTCTGCGAGCTTAGCCGAAAGATCCCAAGCTCGCACGAGCTCAGCCGGAGAAAAGATCCAACTGAGAACGATGAATGCCATCAGGATGATCCCCACAGACCGCCATGCACCTGCATCTGCCCCAAGATTCCGGAGGCGGCGACCACAGATGCCAACCTCAGCCTTACTCGCCCTGCCTGCTCTTCTCGCCCATCATGTGATCCATGCCGCAGCCGCATGCGCCGCTGCATCGTCCCGTGCCTTCATCCCGCCCCCTTCCCCACACTTGCATCAGCGATGGTCCCCGCTCTCTGCAACCCGGTCTGACTCATCACCCGTGTCCGAGTGGGCAGTGGACGTGCCGATGCGGCCGCCGCCCAGCAAGAGCATCCAGGAGTCCCTCGACAGCTGGCGGAAGCGGCTGGGCGGGCCGCTCAAGAGGGGCCGGACGTTTGTGACCGAGCGTGTGATCCCTGAGAGGGTGCGGCGGACCAGCAAGACCATCGCAGACAGGTTCTACACACGCATTGTCGAAGACTGGTTCCCTCCGGAGTCCAAGGAAGTCGCCGACGCAGGTGTGTCGGGGGAAGAGAGAGGGATGCAGTCTAGTATGTCGTCATCTCGTCCTTGTGGGGTGATTGATGGCCTGTGTGTGTCATCCATCAAAACATGTAGATGAGGCGGAGCTGTCTGGCCGTCGGGCGCTGACGTTCTCGCAGACGATCCCTTTTGGCGGCATGTTTCTGTCCCTGCTGTGCCTCGCCCTCCCCTTCGCTGGGCCGCCTGCCCTCGCAGGTGCCGTCGCACCCACAGCTGCTGCATACGTGGCTGGGGCGGCCGCACAGGTAATACGTACGCTACGCAGACACATACATAGATTACATGCACAAGCGAAAGGGCAATGCTGTGCTGCGGTGTGGTGCACATGGGTATCAGATTGAGACGGATGCCAAGAGTGCGGTCGCCCGTAGCAGGTCGTTCTCTGCAGCTGCCTCGATGGCCGCAGCCGAGTCGGAGGCCGCCGCAGGTGAGAAAAGAGCAGAGCGGCTGGGCTGCTTATTTATCCTCCGAACGACCAACTTGTTCTCTCTATGGTTCATTCAGCTCGTGCTGAGTCGGAGGCAGCTGCGGTGCCTTACGCGGCGGCCCTTGCAGCTCTTGGCAGTGTGCTGGCCGGCTCCCTGGCCGAGGCTGGGTTCGTGTACCCCAACCCCGGTGTGTGGGTGGGGCCTGCCATCTCCACGTACGCCGCTGTCAGGGCCGCCGTCGCAGCTGTGTCATCATTCACCGAGGCCAAGGTGGCACGGGTACGGTACGCTGCCGACAGACAGACAGACAAACTCACACAACACACGGTCATCGTATGTGGACACCCTCACTCCTTTGATGTGGTTGTGGTTGTCTGGGGGTGCAGGCGAGCAGCCTGCAGGAGATGCAGGCGGCCAAGAACACCGCCGAAGCCAACCGTGCCACGGCCATCGGCATCCTTCTCGTCGTCGCGCCAGTGGTCTTTAGCGCCATCATCGGAAGTGACGCGACGAAAGGAGTCGAGACGGCAGCTGTCGCGGCGCTGACGGCGGCTGTGGCTTCGGTGTTTGCTGAGTACGCCGGTGCTGTGGCGGGTCGTGCGACGAGTGCAAAGCAGATAGCAGCGTGCAAGACGCAGGCCGAGGTGGCCAAGGCAGATGCGTCGGCATCCATCACGCCATTCACATCAGCAAAGGTGGGTGTGGTTGGGGGGGGGGGATACACGGGGGGGATCGGTCCTGTGTGGACGTGTGGATGTGTCACACATGTCATGTGTGTCATCAGGCTTCCACCGCAGCTCCGTGGGCGGTGGCCATGTCGACGGTGCTGTCTCCACTGTTGGCAGTGGTGTACCCCGCCGTGGCCACCTTCTACATCTTCTTCTCCATTGAAGCGTCATCAAAGGCCAAGTCGGAGGCCGACATCGCCGAGGAGATGGCCAGGTGAACCGAATGAATCCGCTCATACGTCTGTGACAGTGCATTCATCTCCTGTTTCCGTTTCTCTGTGCCTATCTATCAGGGCCGACTTAGCTGAGCTGATCCTATACGAGAGGCGGAAGATGAGGCGGCAGCGGGAATCGGTGGGAGTGGAGCAGGACGAAGCCGTTGAGGAAGTGGATGACACACAGAGATGAAGGGCTGGCTGGGTGGGACACACGGAGATCCGCCGGTGTGTCTATGTGGGTGGACACGGAGTAGATAGACATCTTATCTGGCCAGCTGAGTGAGGCAATGCGTACGAGTGGATTCGGACTCACGTGATGCCCAATGGTTTTGGCGTCTCAATGGCGGCTCCTCGTCTAGCAGGTTCGGATGCTAAGAAGGCGATCTGGTAGAACAGATGCCTTCGTTGCGTCCGAGTGGCGGCTTCACTGAGGAGTGGCCAGCGAGACGCTACAGTGAGTGAGTGATGGCGGTGATGTCAGCCATTTGTGTATTATGTAGAGTAGAAAGCAAGCCAGCTGACCGATAGATGGATAGATAGACACACATAACATACTTACTTGACAATCGACAGACAGCACTCCGGCAGGCATCAACGTCCGTCCCTTATGCGCAGTGCATGATACACGTCTGCGGTCCAAGTCTCATCTGTTCTGTTGGGGTATCTATCCATCGATCAAAGACCAAGTCGCTCTCAGCGACGACCCGTCAATAAGCCCAGTGAGTGCCCAATGCCCCTGCCTCTGCCTCTATCGTAAACACAACACACAAGGCGACGCGTGAATGACCAATCACCTCTGTCGCGTCTGAGACACAGCCATCTCCGACTGACTGGTATTCAGCCGACGACCACCGTCCCGCCCCCGGCTGGGCACCCTCCCCTCCTGCAGCGGGTTAGGTGTCTCCGAAGCGGGCCGCGTCACGGGCACAAATGTCGCCCTCTTCGCTATCGCTGCTGCCGCGCCGGGCTGCGGCGTAGGGGACGATGGAGAGGCGCGGAAGTCGCTTTCAATCTGGGTGGTGGGGGAGGGGGAATCTGGCCGGGGGTGGGATCGTGTATGGGCTTGTGGGGCAGCCAGCTCCTCAATCTCGGGGATGCTGGACATGAGCTTGGCCAGCTGGTCGCGTAATATTCTTATCTCCAGCTTCTGCAGCTGGATTTGCTGCTGGTTGAGATCGGCTTGGACAAGCAGGTTCTGCATTCTTTGCCTCTCCTCGAGAGTCATGTGTGAGGCGGTGGGTGAGCCCTTCTTCAGTCCGCCTGTGCCGGGGATCATCCTCTTACCAACGGCGGCAGCAGGTGTCTCGCGTGTGGCTGCCGGGGGAAGGGACGGCTCTCGAATGCCGAGTGCTGGCGAGCTGGGGCTGGGTGGGAGTTTGGCAGCCGACGGCAGCCGCTGCTGGCTCGGTGGGCCCTCCAGGCTTCTGATATGGAGGTTGAGGCTCTTGACCTCCTGTTGCAGGCGGACCTTCTCCTGTCGTAGCTCGTTGAGTTCCACAATGAGTGCCGAGTTCTCCTGGGACTTTTTCTGGATGTCGAGCTTGCAGGCCAGCTCTGCACGGGCCCCCTTGGTACCCATCATCCTGCACACACCACACACAAGAAGCATTCAATTCACTCGTCCCGTCCCCCCGCCGTGTCTGTCTCCTTCCTGTATGTTGATCTGTCTGTCTGTCTGTGTATATATAACATCTGCCTGCACGAGTCGAGTCGAGTCGATGGCCTCACTCGCTCACTTGATTTTCTTTTCCATGAGCTTGACTTGTCTGTCGAGCTCCTCGAGCGACTGCGTGTCGGGCTTGGTCACATTCTCCATTCGCACGTACCTCTGCGGACACGGACACACACACTGTCTGTGTGGGGCCTTTGGAATGTCCCTGCTGTGCTGTGTATGCTATGTGACCTGGTAGAGTTGTTTGACGTTGTGCGGCCAGTCTCTCAGGTCAGTAACGGTGACCATTCGGTAGAGGTCAGTGGTGAATTGGCTTATGAGCTTGTCCCTGGACTTGATGACCTCCTGACTCGACTGAAGCTCGGCAAGCAGACGCTGATACTGCAGCCGCGCGGACGCGGGGGGCAGAGAGGAAGAGACAGATGAATCAATCCGTTGGGGGGGTGCGTCAGTGCATCTGTCTGTTGGCAGGTCAGGTTGTATACTTGTAGGTTCTTCTGATGCATGGCTGCCTCGCTGTTTCGGTAAGCCGTCAGATGACGCTCCAGCTCATTCTCAAGCTGAGTGAGGGAAAACCAAAAACACACACACGCGTGTGTGTGCACTGACCCACCCTAAGGAGGTTTCCAGACCGCTCACCTCCTGCAGTTGCGATTTGAGCATTGCGATTTGCTGGTCCTTGGGCTGCAGGCTCTCCTCGACCTCCTTGAGACGGAAGTGCAGGACGTTCTTGAACTTCTTCAGAGTCGTCACCTTGGTCTTCATGTCACTAAGCCTCTTCTCTCTGGTGCGCAAGGTGTCTTCTCTCTCGCGCTTCTCCTGCTTGAGGTGCATGACGAGCCGCTTGAGGTCCTCCACCTGGCCCATGAGCGAGGTCGTCTCGCTGCGGTGGATGTCCTGGTCCCGCTTGTACTCCTGCCGCTCCTTCTCCATGAGCTCCAGGCCTTTGAGCAGCATCTCCTGGTCCTTCTTCAGCGAGTGGGCCTGCATCTTCAACTGGTTCATCTCCTCACCAGCTCGGGTGCGCAACTGCATGCGAGACAGACAAGCAGACACACACACGACTGACCATTGCCGTTGTTCGTGAGTGTGTTGCAATTGCGTGTGTCTCTTGTGTGTGTGTATTGATTGCTTCGCTTGCCGTGGCCACTTCATGGTCGTGGTCGGTCTCTTCGGAGGCCAGCATGGTCTCATATTTCTTCTTGAGGAAGAGGCATATCTCCTTGTGTTTGTCGATCTCCTCGTCCTTCTGCCCCACCCGCCGGACCCACGTGGTGACGATGGTCGACTTCTCGTCGTCGAAGTCCTGTCTCAGCCGCTCCAGCGCGTCTCTCGTCCGTTCCTCGGTGTCTTGCTTCTCTTGACGCAGTGCCAAGAACTTCTCAGCCTCAAGAGCCAGTTTCCTCTCATAGAGGGTCTCGAGCTGCGTAGCGGCGGCCACGTGAGACGCCTCCATAGTGTTAAGGGCCAGGAGGGCCTCACGCTCCTTGGTCGCTGTCAGGCCCTGCAGCGTCTCGTAGCGCGATGTGAGAGCATCCAGCTCTTCCTGAGTGAGTGAGTGAATGAGTGGATTGTTGACTTCTGTGTCCTTCCGGTCTTTAGTCAGTCAGGTGGTCAGTAAGTCACCTTGTCCTCTTTGCGGGCGGCCTCGATGCGCTTCTGGAAGTCCTTTTCCATCTGATCCATGCTGACAATGACAGACAGCGAAGAGAGCGGGGAGGTAGGAGATTTGAGACATGAATTACGCCTGCCTACCGATATGTGAGCTCGTTTTGGAGGTGGACATTCTCATTTTGTAGCATGGTCAGCCGCTGATCCTTCGACTGCAGCTCAGCGCTATTCACAAGAACAATCTGAATGCAAAATGCAAAATACACATACCCAGTCATCAAATGATCTCTCCACAGCCCATCCCAGCAATCATCTTCCTGCACCCACCTCAGCAAGCCTCGCCTCGCTTCCGTCGTCCTCCTCTTCGCGGCTCTCCTGACCGCCACCGCCACTCTCCTCCGCCACAAACGATCGCCCAGACTCCAACTTGGCCTTTGACGATGCGGGGGTGGTCGATGGCGGCATCTCTGTGGTTGCGAAGTAGCTGGGTCGCGCGATTTTGAGGACAAATATCATGCCGTCCTCCCCCGCAGTGAGGAGGGACTTGTTGTCGGCGCTGAGGCTCATGTGGGTGAGGCCCGCCCCTCCCTGGTGCAGCGGGTACTCGTCGAAGGCCTGCGTGCTCAGAGGGTGGGGGTACACCCACAGAGTGCCTGAATCAAGCAGGACACATGACACACAGAATGGGAACTAGGGATTGACGCCCGTCCACACGCACCTGCAGTAGTGCCAGCAAGAATGACGCCGCCACTGAGTGACCGCAGGTCGGCATTGCCTTTGTCCTTAGGGCCCCGTTGGGTCGACGCGCCCTCCGTGAGTGTCGGTGTGGGCACCCCTGACCGGTTGGTGCCGGGGGACGACTCAGGCACTGCTACGGCAGCAGCAGCTGCCCCGGGGGAGCGTGTAATGACCTCAGCAAGGGCATGCGGCCTAAGGGGATGATAGTACAGCAAACTCACTATTCGAACATCCCGTGAAGGAAGCTCAAAGTCCTGAAATGGAGATACAGGACAGTGCGTGCCTCTCGTGCCCGCTGTATGCCATGCAGTTGGGATGTCTCGGTCGCTTACGCACATGTGCGAGGTCCCCCTGGTGAAATTCCCTGAGGATGGGCTGACCTGCGTCGATGCCCGCACAGATGGGGCGGTCTATGGGGTCATACACGACGGCATGATACTCGCAGGAACGGCTGAACGACTCGTAGAGGCGGCTCCACGTCGCCGCGTCCCACTCGTAGACGGCGCCATCCAGGCCACAAGTGACCAACCTGCGATCGCCTGCATTTCAACACGCGCAACACATACGTGAAAATCACGGTAGATACAAGCATGCGTAGTGTGAGTGTTGACTGGCCTTGGTTCCAGCACATGTCGGTAACGAATCCTGTGTGAGCCCGCAGGTTAGCGAGGCGTCTGAGCGTGTAGGCCTCGTAGACGCTCACAGCCTTCCCGTGGCCCACTGCCAAGAGGTGCCCGCCGTGACTGAACCGGCAGCACCGGCTGGAACGCGCTTGCAATTCCCTGAGAGGCAGAAATGAAAGGCACCCCACCTCTGATTTCTGTCCTACGAGTGTATGCGTCTCTTGGCTTACTTGTAGACCCTGAGCTCGTCATAGAGGGTGTGGAAGATCCGCACCTTATCCGAAAAGCCCACTGCGGCATAGTAGCCCGACGGATGCAGCGCCAGACAGCATGGCCCAACCCCAGTCAGCCCCAGCCCAGCCTCGCCCGCCTCCCCAGCCGCCGTCGATGTCCCCCCGCCACCCAAGAACACTCTGGCAAGGTCGCATGTGTGTGTCTGGTAGTTCCACACTCGCACTGAGCCGTCCTGCTTGCAGCAGGTGGCCACTATAGGTCTTTGCACGGCCAGGGAAATGCCGCACAGGACGCCAGCAGGGGCCCCTGGGGTCAGGACTTTGCACTCTTGTGTCAGATCCACGTCTTTGAGCGTTGCCAGGGCTTCCAGTGAAACCATACCGATCTGCAGACACGCAAACATGGTCAATGAATGGACAAACCAGTGCTGGTTTCCACTCACCTCGCAATTCTTGAGTGCCAAGACAGCCACAGGTGACGCCTCTGATGTCTCAGTGATGTCCACCCCGACAATATCGGTCGCTCGCCCGACATAGAGACTCCGCATGAACTTGTAGGACGGCCGTTGCACCCCTGGACCTCCCTCCTCACCCCCTTCCTCTCCTCCTCTCCCGCCCCTGGTCGATGGCGTCGCGGCGGCATGACTAGTAGTCGATCGCTCCCACAGAGCCAGTGCCCCATCGGAGCCAGCGATCACCACGCCTTGGGAGAAGCAGCGCAGTGTAAGAGGCGTGGGGAGGCCTTTTGGTGCAGCATCGGGTGTGCCGGGCGGTGGCGGGACGGGGCGGGAGAAGGGGTTGTCGAGGATGGCACCCACAGACATACTCTCAGTTGACAGAATATAGACTTGGCCCTGAGACACGGAACGGAAACTGTACCCATTATATATATTGGAGTGCTTGTTGTTCTCGCTCACGTCCAGAGTGGACGTCAGAAGAGTCCCGGGTGCATGGAAGTCCCAGCAATGGTCGCAAAAGTGGAAGTCACTCTCTGGCATGTCTCGAAACTCGGGATATATCTTAAGAGACTCGTCCCTCATGCGGAAGAGCCGCAGAAAACGATCCCCCGACACGGCCAGCTGATGGCTGTCCTGAGGGTTGAAGGACACTCGCGTGACGCCTCCAAGAGGGAACAAGTCCTTCCAACTCCCGTCTGCGGCCATTGCAGCCGGTGTCTTTGGAGTTGTTGCTCCAGCTGCCTTCAAGAGTCCCCACCCTCCCCTCTTGTCTTCTTTTCTCGATTGGGGCGCTTGCTGCGGTATGGCCAACGGCATCTTCTGGTCCACCACAGCGCGATTCTTCTGCCATTCCCACACGTATGCGGTGCAGTCGGGCAGCCCCGTGATGAAGCAGAGGAACCGGCCGTCATGGGAGAAGGTCAGACACGAGACATTTGTCGCTTCGCTGGTGAGGCACTCGATCGTCCTGGCCTGCTTGACGCCCGCCGACCGGAGATCATACACCGTCACCTGCAGCTGCAGCCCCGTCGCCGCATTGCTCCCACTCCCCTCTGCTGGCGCCCGACGGACACGTTCTCCCACAGCCAGATAGTTACGGTCGTACGAGATGGCCAGCGCCGTCACAGAGTGGACTGCAATGGGCTGCTTGATGAAGTTCATGTCGGCGAACTCCGTGTGGCGGAATGCGATGTGGCGGCCAGCGGGGTAGACGATGTAGCGGCCGGCTTCGTCGGCGAACAGCACACAGTCCCGGATGCTGGCATCGTTCTGGGAACCGTATGCGTGCACCAGGTCCAAGGCGAGGCCTTGAGGCGGCTCTGTTTGTGGTGCCATAGGGCTGGGATGCGAGGAGGCCGTCGAAGCCCGGTGAGCCGGGGGCTGCAGCGAGCGCTTCGATTCGTTTGCCATTGTCGTCACTCTTCTAGGACCTCGTCAATGCGTTCTTCAAGCCAAATCCGCGCGTGTTTGTCGAGCCCCCGTTTTACAAACTGTTCGCGCCGATCGCCCAGTTGGCCGTTAATTAAAACGGCAGGCCCATGAATGTGTAGATCTGGCAGTGAATGCCTTGACACGTACGATGAAAGCAAGCGAAAGCAAGCATGTTTGTGTGTTCCGGTGTGTACACGTGATCCTGACAGAGATAAAACACCGTGGTGTGAGAGACAGCACAAGAGCAGCGACGGCATGCAGGCAGGCAGGCAGAAGAACTACCCATGAACTGCAAGGCGTGCAGGCAGGCAGGCATCTCAGCTCATGCGACAGACGCACATTGTCAGGCAGAAAGGGGCCACACACCGCAACGCACCAACCAATAGTGCCTACCGAGTACCGCAGGTCGCAGGCCTACATCGCATATATCCGATAGTGTAGAGCTCTAAAATTGCTTCTTTGTACATGGCAATCTACACGTCCGTCCACCGTCTGTACGTACGTGGGTATGCATGCACAGCCAGGTAAGGTAAGCACATGTATGTATGTATGTATAAGTACTTACGTACGTGAGACACCGCAACGCCCACTTACAAACAGATGATAGATAGTTCTATCCAGTTAGAATATCAAAATTAGTATCAGGCAGAAAACAGATCCCACAACTCACTCAGGGATTACGAATGCTCATCGCCCCCTGTCCGTCTGTCTATTTGTCTCCTCCCTGCCCCTCTGACTTCCAAAATGTGGGATCGGTCATCTGCTGATAGTACCTGGGGCCTCTCGGCCCAGGCACAGGAAGTGAGCTAGCCCGACCTGGCGGCTGAGGCCGCACTGGCACCTGCCGGGCTTCGGCGGAAGTCGTGTCGAAGAAGCCCACGGCACCGATTGGGGCAGCCTGCTGCTGCACAGGAGTGGGGGCGGGAGATGGGGTGGTGGACGATGAGGCCGCGATGCCGCTGCCCTCCGTTGCAGATGACGCCACAGAGCCCTGGGTGGTCAGCTCTGGCCTGGTGTCTGATGGTGGCCGCGGCGGGTGCGAGACTGAGGGTGCAGCCTGGGGTATGGGCGGAGACGACTTGTCGGTCGATGCGCCGCTGGACGAGGGCGACTCGACGGACACCCTCCGGGGGACAGATGAAGACGGCGGGGCGGATGAGGAGCTCGGCGCGTCTGGATCGCCCGACATGGCCGCAAGCTGAGGGCGCAAGCTCTCCATGACCTCGAGAGCCCTGTCAGACATGGGCGGACACACGGACAGAATGGCGAATGGACTTCTGTGTGTCTTGTTCGCACGCACGTACCTGCGGCTGGCTTCTTCCTTGGCCTGCATCTTGTTGGGCTGCCAGGTGCCAGAGGTGGGCGGCAGGGAGGGCATGGGGGGGAATGACACGGTCGCCTTGAACTGGGGGTGCCGCTGATTCTCGTTGTCGATGATCTCGAACTGCATCGGACGCTCCTTTTTGCGAAGCCTGACAGACAGACATGCATCCACAACAAATATGATGCTCTCCTTGGTCATTGCTGTCTTGGTCGTGTCGTGTGGTGCAGCGGACCGGCAGACGTTGAGCAGGAAGACATTCAGCCTAGCCACGTAGCCAGACAGCGGCCTTGGCCCTCGCCCCTCCTCCCTGGCTCTTTCCCCTTCTCCGCCGCTCCCCTCGGACCCCTTCCCCTCTTCAGCCTCCCCTTCTATCGCTTCGGCGGTCACGCCGGGCACAAAAGGGTGCGGCGGGATGACCACATGCACATCGCGAGAGGAAGGGCTACGGGGAGACGACGGCGGCGGCTCCACCACCGCAGTCAAAGGACGCCTCGGAGATACCACCCTCAGTGGAGACTCCTCGAGAATCGGTGGGATGGGGATGGGCGGCTGTGGGGCCATGGGTGGTCTGAATGCCAAAGGGGAGGGCGTAGGCAGCGGTCGCGGTGGCGTCTGAGGTTCCACAAACAGCCGGGATGAGGGCGGCAGGCGAGAGGCCAGGGGCGGGGGAGGGGGTCTCTGGACCGCAGGAGGGGGCGGGGACAGCACTGGGGACTCAGCCACTACTGGTGGTCTTGCCGGTGGCTCGACCAGCGGCGGCCGTGCGGCCGGTGGAGCTGTAGTGGGGGACACATCTCTGGACGCCTCCCTTTCTTCTGCCTGCGCCTGCCTCTCCTGGAGTGCGGATGTCTGCTCCCGCAGCATATCCCTCTCAGCAGCCAGGCGCGGCAGCAAGGCGTCCAAATCAGTTGTCCTGCACACCACATTAATGACATTCAACCAATACAAACAAGATTGATTGAGATAAGAGAGAGAAATGCATTCAGCCGTGCCGTGCCCTGTGTGGTCTTTTGTCCTCCCACGCCCACCTCTGCTGCAGCGCGACATTGTGTGTCTCGAGATCCTGTCTGTACCTCTGCGCCTCTTCGGTCTGCTGCTCGAGTGTGGCCCTGTGTACGGCCCACGACTGCTCGGCCATGCGCAGGTTGAAGTTGGCCGTGAGGAGGGACGTGAACTGCCGTGTGGTCCGCGCCTTAAGGTCAGACAGGTAGCGATTCTCGCGCTGCAGAGCTGACATCTCGTCCTGCTGCGCCTGGATGCTGACCACACATTTAAAGCATCCATCCAATCATGGCTATCCATCGGTCGGTGAAAGATAAGCAATGTCAGTCAGCTCATTTTCTTACCACTGCCGCAGCCTCTGCTGTTCGGCGAAGAGGGTCTCCACTTGCTGCCGCTCGTCTTCGGACATGGCTGCCGACGGCGTGCCCTCCTCCCCCCGGGCCTCCCTCTCGGCGCGCATCTCGAGCAACATCTGGTTCTCCCTTCTCGCTGCCTCCAACTCCCTCTGCCGGCTGGCGTGGCTGTTGTGCAGCGCCTGCAAGTCGTTTGTCAGTGACGACGCCTCCCAACGGGCGGCTTCCAGCCTAACACAACTCACACAGCACAACGACGTCAATAGAGTCAGTCTGCAGGCGACTGAGTGCCGTGCTCTCACCTCCCTCTCCAGTTGGCGGCTTCTGCACGGGTGGGCTGTGCCGCTGCTGCTGCAGGAGGAAGGGGCATCTGAGCAGGCGCCTCGCCTCTCCACAGGGGAGGGCTTCGTGAGGCGGTGGCAGTCCGCCCTCGAGCTGCCACTGGGAAGGGGGCTGAGGGGGGGTGGGAAATGGGAGTCTCGGCCGAAGCGGTGCCTTCCGGCGGGGTCTGAGCCTGGCCTTCGGGCGGCTGCGCAGGAGGCTCCATCCACCTCAGAGATCCACTTACACAAAACCCTTGGCACCGATACGCAAGTACGCAAGTATAAGCCGCAAACGGTTCGTAAATTTCTTCAAGCGCGAGCTTGTTTGAGTTCAGCGTTTTGTCGTTTCGAGTAGTTCACCGTGTAACAGTGTGCAGCGTCTTCGCGCTGCATCCGTGTTGTGCTCTCCTCTGCGTAGGAGCACCATGACGCTCGAGGAGGACCTCATCCAGAAGCTCGGCACACTCAACATCTCCTTTGAGCGGGTCAGTCATGCCGGCACACTCAACAGATTGGCAGATCTATCAGCCAGCACACAAGCAAGATGTTCTGTTTCTGCTTGTGTGTTGTGTGCAGGAGGATCACGATGCGGCGAAGGACATGGTGGCGATGCAGCAGGTCCTGCAGCACCGGGAGGGCGTCAAGGCCAAGAACTTCCTCTCCCACGACAAGAAGAAGAATCAGACAGTGCTGCTGATGCTCAGAGCCGTACGCTACGCTCCCGTCACTTACACCCACGCTGTGGCGGATCCATATATCAGCCATACATGCATCGGCATCGTGTGTGGGTGTGGTGTTGGTTGTGCCGTTTGTTTGTGCAACGTAGGAGACCGACATGAACCTGGTCCACAAGGCGCTGGGCCGCCTCAAGGGCTGGAAGGACCTCCGGAGAGCTGAAACCGAGCTGGTCAAGAAACTCGGTCTCGAGAAGGTAAGCAAGCAGCCACTCCAGCCAAGTCGCTCACCTCACACACGGACGATCTGTGAGTGGGTTGTCATTTTGTCCTTGATCCAGGGCGCGTTGACACCGTTCGCCGTGATGAACGATGCCGAGTGAGTGGGCATATGATAAGGGAGGTGTTTGTGTGCACCTTGCCTACCTCAATGTGTGTGTATGCCCGTGTTTGTGGTGTCATTCATCAGCAACAAGGTGCCGCTGTATGTGGAGGACTCGCTCAAGGCCCAGGACAAGATTTGGATACACCCATTCCGCAACACTGGTGGGGGGTGGGTGGACACTGATTCCACCACACTCATCCATCCATCCATCCGTCCGACATCCACCCTTCTGCCCGCGCGTGTGTGTGGTTTTAGCGTCCCTATGTCTGAGCATGGCGGACATCCAGAGGTTCGCCGAGGAGCACGGCCACAACGTCAACTTCTTCAACCCCGAGCCGCCAGCCGCACCCACGGCCGACGGCGTGGCCGCCAACGGGGGAGGGGGAGGCGGCAAGAAGGCCGCTACCAGCGCAGCCGCGGCACCCGGACAGGTCAGTCAGTCAGCCAGCTACAAACAGGCAGACGGATGGGATGGATGCATGGCATCTATGTGTGTGTTTGGGCCATTCATTGTCAGGAGAGCACGTTGGGCATGACTGCGACGAAGGACGGCAACTACCCCGAGTGGTTCCAGCAGGTCTGCCGGGGTGCAGAGCTCATCGAGTACACTGACGTGTCGGGCTGCTACGTCATCAGGTACACACACACACACACACACACAAACCGTGAAGGAAGGCCGAGCAGCTGCATGCCCGTGCGTGGTGGGAGTGTGGGATGGATGACAGGGCGCGTGCAACGTACGTGTGGAAGCGTGTGCAGCGGTTCTTCACCGACCTCATCGAAGAGGTGGGTGCATACGCGGAGGGGAGGCAGCCTTTTAACACATCTATCCATCTATCTATCGGTTTGGTTAATTGCAGAAAGGTGTGGTCGAGGAGTTGTATCCGATGTTCGTCAGCTCCGCAGCGCTGCACAAGGAGGCGCATCACCTGGAAGGTCAGTCAGTCAGCCATGGCTGGCTGGCTGAGAAACCAACACCTCTGCACCAATGATCCCCCCCTCCCTCCCTCCCTCCCTCGCGTGTGTGCAGGGTTTGCCCCCGAGGTCGCTTGGCTGGGCTCCACCGGCCCAGAGCCATTCGACCCTGAGAAACCCGACGGTAGATAAGCCACACAGACAGGCGACTGCAGGCTGACAAGTGTTCCATTATCTCGTGTGTGTGTGTGTCACATATCCACAGGCAAGGGCAAGCCTCTGAAGGAGTGCATTGCGTTGCGTCCGACGAGCGAGACCATCATGTACCCCCAGTGGGCCAAGTGGGTCAGATCCCACAGGGACCTCCCCATCAAGATCAACCAGGCAAGCCAACACGAGACGAGACACACGTGTCTATCTATCGGCAGGCACGGCCCACGGCCATCCATGATGCGGTCGGTGCACCACACCTCCTGTCGGTGGTGGTGCTGTGTGTGTGGATGGATGGATGGATCGATGCAGTGGTGCAACGTTGTTCGGTGGGAGTTCAAGCAGCCGACGCCCTTCATCCGCACACGAGAGTTCTACTGGCAGGAAGGGTAGACAGATAGATAGCCTGACAGACAGACAACACACCACACCAGCATCACGCACCTCTTTCGCACGATGGATGGCTGGCTTGTCCGTCTTGTCTGCGTGTGCAGCCACACTGCCCACGCGACTGACAAGGAGGCGGAGGACTGGATGTGGATGATCCTAGACTTCTATAGAAGGTCCATCAAATACATTGCAATGCGGCACATATATGTCACACACACCACATGTGATACACGCAACAACAGGCCTGGCCTGGCGAGAGACGGATGATGGATGTGTTGTGAGTGACTGCATTGCAGGGTGTATGAGGAGCTGCTGGCTGTGCCTGTGGTGCCGGGCGTCAAGTCGGAGGGCGAGAAGTTCCCGGGCGGCAAGATCACATCAACCGTCGAAGCCTACATGCCCAACGGACGGGCCGTGCAGGTACGTACGTACGCGACACGACAACCACACGTATGGACCCCTCCGTCGATTCGAGGCTATCTCTTCTCCATGCTATGGTGCCAGGCTGCCACCTCCCACCACCTCGGCGACAACTTCTCGAAGATATACGAAATCGTCTTCGATGGTAACCTGAACCAACAGTCCAACCATGACGATGCAGCCGTCAACGGGTGTCTCTCCCTCCCCCCTTCTTTTACAGCTGCAGACGGCGTGACCCGCTCGTTCGTCCATCAGACCTCATGGGGGCTGACCACACGATCGGTAAGTGAGCTCTGGCAACATGCCTACTCCACACACACGGACGGACTTACACAGACACACACAATGGTTGATTGATGTGGGCGTCCGTCAGGTTGGCGTGGCGGTGATGGTGCACAGCGACGACAAGGGTCTGGTGCTGCCGCCAAAGGTCGCCATGGGGCAGGTCGTCCTCATACCCATCCCATACCAGGTGGGCCGGCCTTTGACGCACAACACCCCACCCACCCATCTGATCTGATCTGATCTGTCAACGCGCGTATGTATGTATCCATCCATTCGTCCACTCACTCATCAATCAGTCCAAGTCTGGCGAGAACCCTGCCGAGGCGGCCAAGCGCAACGAGGAGATCCGCGACAAGTGCGAGAGGCTGGCCGCGGAACTCAAGAGGGCCGACTACTTCGAAGGCGACAGCAACAAGTACTGGAAGATACGGGCATACGCAGACACAGTGAGTCAGTGGGCGGGAGAAAGACATGAGGGCTCTCATGTTCTCACTCACATTAATGTGCGTGTGTGTGTGGTGACTGACATGTCAGAGGCAGGACAAGACGCCTGGGTGGAAGTACAACGAGTGGGAGCTCAAGGGCGTGCCCGTCCGCATCGAACTGGGACCCAAGGACTACGACAAGCAAGAGGTCAATCAGCCTGATCAGATGCCTCACATGCCTCGCTGGCTCATGCCATCCATCCATCCATCCAGCCAGCTACCCAACCAACCTTCTGTCTCCTTCTCTGTCTGTCCGTCAGGTGGTGTTGGTGCGTCGCGACACGGGCGAGAAGATCAAGGGCGTCAAGTGGACCGACTTGACGGCCCGTGTGCCGGCGCTGCTGCGTGAGATCCAGGACAACCTCTTCGTCCAGGCCAAGAAGAAACTCGACGACGCCATCGTCAAGGTCAGGGAGGGCAGGGGAGGGGGATGCACGCCACAGCCACAACGCAAGCAAGGCACAGACACTCATTCAGGGAGTACGTATGCATGCATTGGACGTATGTGTCAAATGCTTCGTCAGGTGACCAAGTGGGAGGAGGTGACGCCCGCCCTCAACCAGCGCAAGATCGTGTTGGCCCCATGGTACTGCACTGCACTGCGCAGACAGACAGGCGAAGACATCCATCCATGGGCCAACCTTTGTTTATCGGTGTGCATGTTTGTGTTGGTTGGTGTGATGTATGTAGGTGTCAGGAGGAGGAGACTGAGGATGAGATCAAGAAGCGCACCACAGAGGAGGCCGCGCAGACACTCGCCAACGAACAAGCCACCCAGCCGGCGGCGGCGGCGGCGGCGGCTGCAGGAGAGGTCAGCTCAGCCCAACAGCCAGGCGCACCGCACACATGAGTGCATGGCTGGTGCGGCGCGACCCACACGCCTGTGTATGTTATGTACGTGTGTCTGTCTGTCAGGGTGAGGAGGAGTACGCGGCCCCCGCGCTCACCGGTGCGGCCAAGCCCCTGTGCATCCTCACAGATGACGACCCCAGGAGGGTGAGTAGCGAGGGAGGCCATCTCACACACACACACACACACACACAAAGGCATGGAGATCGCATCGCATCGCATGTGTGAAGTGTGTGTGTGTGTGCGGTGTGTCTTGATTGGTTCATTCAGCCCCCCTTGACGGAGGACACCAAGTGCTTCCTGACGGGCAAGGCCGCCAGGTGCTGGGCACTCTTCGGCCGCAGCTACTGACCGACCGATGTCCAGAGGTGGCGACCGATGCGATACCCCTGTGCCTGCATAGCTACTATCGCATGCCTACACGTGTTTGTCTATGTATGTATGTGTGTATGTGATCCGGCGTGCTTTCATGTGTGGAGCAGAGTGCTCTTCTCTTTGGAGGGGTGGGGTGGAATGGGGTGGGCAGGCTTTATCTATCGGTTGTCTGTGGTCGTGTTGGTGTTAACTGTGGGTGGCGAGAGTGAGTGGCCGCTGGCGTGTTGAGCTGTGTGCCATGAGTGGACGTCCATCCCTACCTCTCTTGCATGCTTGTCCTGTCCTGTCGTGTGTTGGTGTGGGTGTGGGTGTATGTATGCATGTATGTATCAGTGGACCCTGCTTGCTTAATTCAATCGCTCCTTTCAATCAATCAATCAATCAAAGGCACGGGAGAGATCGGCCTGGCCTACACATACAAACAAACCGTCTGTCTGTCTGTCTGTCTGCCTCTATGTAACTACCCCACACACACACGACCGTCAAATGGCCTGCCTCACGGCCCCCTCCACCCACCCTCTGTGTGAGTGGATCAGAGTACGTCTCCAAATGCGTCCTCGTCGTGGAGGCGGCGATGTGCGTGGCCGTCATGGTCGCCGTCACACGGCTCCTCCTCCCCACTCGTCGGCTCCACCACACGGCACACCTCTACCTGCGCCCCCGCATTCGCCAACTCAGTCAGCCACCACCTGCACAGACCAGACACCACGCGCACCGCACCCACACATTTCGTGGGGGAATAATCGATGCGCCCGTGCGTTGCGTCCCCATATATCCACTCACTCCTTACCTACCTCTGTTTCTCCGAGAGGCGATCCCGCGGTCCCTTGACCTCCACAAACATGGCCTCGCCACACTCACCCTCATCACCCACACCCACACCCACACCGCCCTTGCCGTCCTTCTCAGTGTCACTTGAGAGGTCGATCGGGCAGTCGGCCGTGGAGAGGGGGAGGCAGGGGAGGGGGGGTGCAGGTGGAGGTGAGGGGTCGGGTGCGGGGCGCTTCTTGCTTTTCCTCTGCTTCTTGTACTGGCGGGGAGGGCTGGCGTGGATAGCAGGGGGAGCCAATGGGTCGTAAGGGGGCTTCCTGCAGAGGTGGGCCACCAACAGACAGACATCCACATAAGAAAGAGCTTATACAGTGTGTCGTCAGGCGTGTCTGTGTGTTGGGGTGTGGTGTGTCTCCCTCCCTCCCTCCCTCCCTCCCGGCCTCACGCACTGACTCACTGAGTCACTTACATGCGCCAGAGGAGGAGGTCGGGCATGCCGCCGGCCCAGTAAGAGTAGTCCTCAGAGAGCAGCTGGAAGCACACGCTGAGGACACGCCCCCCGATGCAGCTGGCCAGCCACCCCATGTACCGCCCGTACTCGTCACGCCGACGGTCCCTCTCCGCCAACGCCTCCTCCCTCCTCACCTCTCGCCCATCCTCCTCACTCTTGGCCAATGGGGACTGCTCCTCGCTGTCACCATCACCATCAGCCTCAGCATCGGAGGCACGCTCGATGTCCATCTGGTCGCTGTCCTTGTTGTCGGCCTGTGGCTGTGTGGGAAGAGGGAGAGGGGGGAGCGCTGGCTGTGAAGGGGAGGGAGAGGGTGAGAGGGGGCGAGAGGGGCCTGGCCTCGGCTGTTTCTGTCTCTGCTGCTTCTGCTGCTGCTGCTGCTGCTGCTGCTGTTGGAGTGCCTTGTCTTTGCGCTGTCGTGGTGTGGTCCATGTGACGCCCCGTATCCGCAGGCCGTAGAGGCGGTCGACAGATGTGGCCGTCAGGATGCGCATCTCGTCGGGAGTGGCCTGCACGAACCCCTGCATACCATACAACCAGGGGATGTCTGTCTGAGTCCCCCCATGCCACCCCTGTCAAGTCCCGTCCACCCACTCACTCACCCTCAGTCGGTTGTCGATTTTGGTCTTGCGGCAGGCGTAGAAGCACTCAGTGCCCAGATCCAACGGCGCATCCTGCACACACACGTGTCCTGTGCACTGCGTGCCTCTGTGTTGCCTGTGTTGCTGTGTCTGGCTCCCGTATACCTGGTAAGGCGTCTGCAGGACGTCCCCGACGGCCTCATCGAATAGGACGTCGTACATGAGGATGCCGAAGAGCTCCCGCACCTCGCGCCCCTCCGTGTGTACGCCCGTCCACCCACCCTGCATGCGGTAGTGCTGCAGGATGAGCCCCTCCACACCCACACACTTGTCGTTGAACCCCACAAACACGCTGTGCTGCCCTGTGTGTGTGAGCAGAGCACACACAAGAGGGAGAGGAGAGCAGGTGTGGTGTGGTGTGATGTGATTGGATCGATCCCCTCCTGCGTGCGGTGCGCGTGCCTGCCGCCTTGGAGTCGTCGAGTGGTCTGCCCAGCACCTTGCTCTCGCGGATGTTGCTGAGCAGCTGAAACTCCGACGCCTCAGTGACGGTCTTGCGCAGGTCGGAGGGGATCTCACGGCTCCACACAGCCTTCTTGGACGCTGCAGTGCACTCGCACCAACCAAAGTGAAATCTATCCATCCATTGCAATGCATGTGGGTGGGTAGACAGACAGTCTGCTGTGCGTGTGCAGTGCACGCACGTACTGGCTCTGGCGATTGCGGTAGCGATGCGTCTGGTCCGTTTGCCGAGCTCAATGCGGTCGCCACGTGGGACGGCAGCGCCCTCCCTAAGGCCCTGGATGCAGTACTGCAGAGCCTCCTCAGACCGACTTAAGTTGCGATGCAGGTTGATGGTCAGCCTGACGCACACACACACACACATACATACAAGACACACACACAGAGAAAGAGAGAGAGAGAGAGTAGCTAGCCCTGATGCAGTGCAGACCGACGAGCGTGACGTACCTACGTACCTGTTGTACCACTTGCCGCGTCTGTGCACGGACAGCTGGGAGTGGAGCAGCAGGCGCAGGCGGGCGACGGCCTCCTCGTACTGCTTGCGCTTCTCCAGTATCTGCACCGAGTGCCACGCCACACCCGCATGCACCCACTCCTGCACAGCACATCACACCACATCACACACATGTTATGACACACACGTGTGTGGGTGCCTGCGTGTGTGTGTATAGCAGCAGCCGTGTGGCCTCACCGCCGTAAACCGTCGGAGGAAGACGTGTCGGTATTTGGCGCTGTCGGCGTCGTCGCCGCTGCTGCTGCTGCCCTGCTGTGGGTGGTGGTGTTGGGCCGACGAAGAAGCGGCACATGCTGCTGCACTGGTGGATGGCTGTGCAGCAGCAGCAGCAGCAGCAGGCGCCACCGCCGCGGATGCCATGCGCTGCACATGCTGCGCCACATGGTCGTGGGCTTGCTGGCCAAGCTCCAATGCCTTGGCCTCGTCACGCGTCTGAGCACGGCAACGTACACATGGCTAAGTTGGCCGGGCCGGCCGTCGACGTTTTGGCTGCCCGCCCACATCTCATCTCTATCTACCTTACTTACATGCATGAGTGCGATCTCCATCTCGGCCTCATTCTCTTTAGCCTTCTCGTAATCCTCCAACTGACTACGGCCTGACGCACTCACACACACACACACAGAGGATAGATCAACGCGCACACCATACACACCCCCTGCCCCATTACATTCTCGCTCACTGGTGAAGACAGGCAGTGAAGCGTTGCACTGGTAGGGCGGGAACCTTTTGCGGCCGATAGAGGCCAGCGTGGGCGGCGGTGCGGGCCCGCCCTTGAGGAACCCTCCACTCCACGCCAGCCGCTGGCCCTCGGTGCCGTTCTGGCCGGCGTACGCACCGATGGCTCCTGGAGTGGCCAGACCAGCCCACACACCCTCCGCCAAATGAAACAAAAAGTGGACGCGACGGAACATGCGACGCACCTAACCCGCCCCGCCCCGCCCCGCCCACAGGCATACACACGGGTGGGGTGGCGTGGCGTGGCCTGGTGTGGTGTGGTGTCAGTCAGTCGGCCGAATGAATGAATGTTGGGTAGGGTAGGGTAGGATGCCCACCTACCTCAGGTGGTATGGCGATGAGGGGTCCCGCGACGGTCCGGACTGCCTTGAGCAGCTCATCCGACACACGACGGCCAGACAGTAGCCGCCACGCTGAAATTCAACACATACATACATACACCACGCCCACAGAGGTGGGAGTCCTTGGTGGGCGGTGCAGGATGCTGGCTCAGCTCACTGTTTGGTGCGGCGGCTTTCTTGAGCGCCTCTACAAGTGCGCCTTTGGTCTTGTGCTGTCGGAAGGATGAGGGGTCGGGCAGGCTGGCGCGGCCCACCACCGTCCTCAGCTCCTCCGCTGACAACACCCACAGCCCTGACATACATACCAACGACAGAGAACACAACACAACACACTGTCCCATAATCAAACCTTCCGCCTCACTCACCCCTTGCCGACACACCGACTGACCTTCCATAGGCGACAGCTCCGACCGGTCCATCGCCTCCTCAAATCTCACCATGAGCACCCCCCCGCCATGCTCCCGACACTCGATGCCGCCACACAGCTCCTCAACCGCCCTTGCCACCGACTCAATGTCCTGATACCTGGGCCCCAGTGACGCCACGCGGAACCACGGCCCGACGCGATTGGAGAGCCGCACGAACAGCCGCTGGGCGTCGGCCGACAGCTCCCCGAATCTGGTGAGGATCACCATCTCGTGTGGCAGGAAGAGCTGGTGGTGTCGGCGGAGGGCGACGGCGATGGCGAGTCGGAAGATGGCGACGTAGTAGGGGAGGGAGGCGAAGGAGGCCATCGTCGGCGGCTCAGAGGGAGGGGAGAAGGAGAAGGGCGGGTGGGGGTGGGGTGCTGCCACGGGAGGGGAGGGGCCATCCATCACAACGTCACCATTTCCATTGCCATCGCCGTCTTGGGCACTCTCGCGGCCTCCCATGTCGGCAGGGTGGGAGGAGTCCACCCGTCGCCGCTTGCAGTGGTCCTCATCACCGCCCATTGCAGCAGCAGCACCAACTGCTCCCCCTACCTCCTCCTCTGCTTGCTTCCGCTTCCCCTGACCACCACCCTCTGCAATGGCCGCCGATGCTTCTGCTGCTGCTTCTGCTGCTGCTTCTGCTGCTGCTTCTGCTGCTGCTGCTGCCAGCTCCTCGCCACGTGGATCTGCATCATGATCACTGTTGCGTCTGTCAGAGTGCTGGTGTGCTTGTGCTGCCGGCTGCTGCTGGTCTTCGTCTTCGATGGTCAGATCAATGACGCCGTTGTGGGATCGAGCTGCACCAGGTGGTGGTCTGGATGCTGGGCTGAAGAAGTGGGTGATCTTGGCACGCGCCATGACGGTACCCGCGCAGCCTCACCAGACACCAGACCAAACAGTACTGCTACATCCAAGGAATGATGAAAATGTTCATCCGAGAAGGCAGTTGTGGCTGCAGCTCCAGTAAGCTCCTCCTGTTTCCGGTCGCCGTCAGCTTCGCGACGCTTTCCTTTCTGGCACTCTCTAAGCTCGCACCGCCGATCGTCGCCGTTCGCGGACTGCGGGCACGAAGCAGGGGCTGCAAAATGAAGTTGGTGGGGCTAACCACACTCGCCCTCTGCCTGGCTGCCCAAGTATCCCAAGCATTCCGGCCTCCAGTCACGGGCAGACGCGCCATCACCTCTTATCTGCCTCGCACAGCCACCTTTGAGCTCAGAAAGAAGCACCACCATGATCATAAGGTGCTGCGGATGGCCCAAAACGAGGTGGACAAGGTGCTGAGTGACAAGCCCGACCTCGTCGAGACGCTCAAGTTGCAGACGCTGTATCGACCCGGAACAGGGGAGGGCGTGAATGTCGGCGACCTGCTGCCGGCTGGCAAACCGGCATTGGTGGTCTTCCTAAGACATCTCGGTATGCGAGGCGCATTGCACTGCAATGACATGACATGCAGTGGCTGCTGTGCTTCATGGACAGCTGTGTGTGTGTTTGTGTGTGATTGCGTGTGTCGACCAGGATGACCGTTCTGCTGGCAGTACTCCAAGGAACTGACGGACGCTCTTCCGGCATTGGAGCGTGCCAACGTGACCTTGGTTGCTGTCAGCATCGGGGAGCCGCAGAAGGCGGCTAAGTTCCTCGACCAAACGGGATATCTGGGCTATCAGTACTTCTTCGTCGACACACCACCTGACCTGAGGTCGGTGGGAGAAACCAGCCAGCCGATAGACACGCACCGTCGCACCGTCGTCCCTCCTGATAGATAGACCACCACTTGGTGCTTTTGCTGTGCCTTGATGCAGGGCGTATCGCGCGTTGGGGTTGGCAGAGTTCTTCACAGCGCCGAAAGACCCGTGGCGGTATCCGATTGCCCTGCTCAACCCCTTTAAGGCTTTGGCCACTCTCAAGAAATGGGCCAGGGGCGTGCTTGACGCCACGGTCGCCAAGAAATGGAACCCGCAGGACTTCACACCCAGACAGGTTTGGCAAACGCGCACACTCATATGTCATATGTCATATGTCATATGTCACATGTCACATATGTCACATGTCACATGTCATGTGTCGATGGATCGATCTGTGTGTGTGTGTGTGTGTGTGGTCCACCAGATCAAGTCTGTGACGCAGCAGGGGGCCACGTTTGCCATCGGTGCAAGTGGCGAGCTGGTGTTTGCGTACAAGGACCGAGTGCCGAATGAGTACGCCAACCTCGATGAGGTCTTCGACGCACTGGGGATCGGGGAGAGGGAGGTAGTCATCACGTAGCGTGGCGTAGCCAGTGTAGAGCGGAGCATCCATCCGTGTAGCGTAAGTGGCATGGCATCCGTGTAGAGAGTAGAGTGTAGAGGGACAGTAGAGAGTGAAGTTTGTGTGGACACGTGTGTGTGTTATGTGCACACGAGTCAGTCAGTCAGCCGGGCGGCCAGTTTCTGTTGGCCCTCGAGTGAGTGTTGCCTGTCCATCGATGTAACCTAAGGCCCCCCCCCCCCCCCC